CAAAGGTCATCAGTTTCTGTTCCTGAAGCTCTGCTTGGGAATTGCTATGCTTCGTTGTACTGTTAGAAAAGTGGCCTTCACTTTGGGTGCCTTCTCTCCCGTCCTCACACAGACACCCTTTTGTTGTTGTTGTGTGGTTGTTGGTTGGAGCTCTGTGGTTTTTTTAGTTTTGCTTTTGGTTTGGTTTGGTTTTTACTTCTAGGCACAGATCTTCAGATTTTTTTTTCTTTTTTTAATTGGGGGGGAAAAGGCTGACTGTCGGGTGCTCAGGCGTTTCTGTCTGTAGGGATAACGAGCGCCTGCTTTCTGGTTGGCACTGGAGCCCGGTACTTTTGAGTGCTAATAAATGACAAACCCCGGCTCGGCGTGGACCCGCTGCCGGGGAGGATGCGGGAATGGCAGATTGCCTTCTCGAGGGCGTGGCGGGGGGGAGTTGCGAGGGCCGCTGTCACACTGCTTTTTTGCCAATCCCGTCTAAAATAATTCCAGGGAAGCAGGCAGTGTGCGCGGAAGGGAAGGGTGGTCGCGCCTCTGGGTTAAACACACGCAGAAGGCGAGAAAAAGTGGGCACATCTCGGTGGGGTGGGACACACAACACCCCGTGGGCTGCGAGACTCACTATGATGAGCAGCAGCTCTGGATATCGGGGGGATGTCAGTCGTGACTCCAAGATGATGTTTCACAAAGGAGACGGGGGGAAGGATTAAGCTCCGAAGAGTGGGAGGGTTGTTTGGGGTTTTTTTAATAAATAAATAAAGCAGGTTATGCATGGTGGCATGGCCCGGGGCATGTGTGGCAGAGAGGCAGAGAGGGAGCTGAGTAGGGAAAGGTGGAGGGCCTTGTTTGCCAAGCCCAGTTGCCTTCGGTGGGATGTACTGAAACGTCCTGGGCTAGGGTGACTGCGATAAGGATACCAGGAGCTGGGATAGAGACACACACCTGGAACGTCCAGGGTGGGATGGGCCAACCTTCGTCATCGGGCTACCTTTAGAAAGTGACCAGGGTTGGCACAAAGCATCCCAGAGTGGGTCCCCCAGGACAGCTCTGAGTGGGTGCTGCAGTAGGCGACAAAGGAGCAGCTCAGGCTGTCTGGGAGGAGGTAGCCCCACTTACTCACATCTCCCCGGGGTGATGCCACTCACTGGAGACCACCTGCCCAGGGCAGGGGGTGACCATGTCTCCTCCACAAGCACCACCTCCCGTATACACACACACACACACACACCATGTGTTGTGTTCCTCAAGAAACTTACTTATCCTTCAGGTCTGGCTTGGGCAGAGGCAGGAAAAGAAAGGAAAAAAGAAAGGGAGAAAAAAGGCAGATGGAAAAAAAGGCCTGTGAGGAAAAGCCCCATTATTGCTGATGAGAAATGAGGCCTGGCTGGGCACCACCAGTTCTGGAGGCCTGGAACAGCACTGTCACCCCCAGCCTGCTTGGGAGGCCTGGGGACCAGCAGGACTGGGACACGCAGTTAAGACTGGGGGAGTCCGGGTGTGACCGTTCACATCCACTTTGCCACCAGGAGAGAGGCCACCCGAAAAGCTCCAGCCGAGGGAGGAAGGCAGAGGCTAGGGTAAACCACAGTACAATACGCTGGTTTTACAGCTTTTAGGTGTCCATAATTCAGAATGGAGGACAACTAAATACGATAAAAATTGAAAGCAAGGATGAAATGCTTTTTGCAGGTCAAAGTTGTTCACTGCACCCTGTGTAAGTATGCACATACTGTCTTCCATCTACCCCACTCCATAGGTGTGTGCATATATATGTGTATATATGTATGTACGTCCCCATGTGTATGAGTCCTTTTTTGAATATGTGTGTGTGTGTGTGTGTGTGTGTGTGTGTATGTGTGTGTGTGTGTGTGTGCTGCCTTGTGGAGCTTGGCAGCTGAAGAAGGCGCTTATTTGTTTAGGAAAACACAGGCTATGTATCCGAGCTCCCCAATTACATGCAGCCTGGCCACTCACAAAATAATAATACCATCAACTGGGTTTTATATTTTACTATAACCTATCAACCCGCCTCCCTCCCTGCCAGAAACAGCCTGTAAAAGTTGTCACCACTAATCTCCAGAGAAACTCTTCCTTTCTGCAGGGGACAAGAGAGGAACCAGTGCCATTCCGGGTTGGGTTACACGAGGAAGGAGATGGGGGGTGGAGAAG